CGGAATACGGATCCAAACAGCTAATTTTTTAAGGTTGTCCTCGTAAGGATCAAATAATGGCAGCCACCGTTGAACAGAAACATAATGGTCTGCCACAATCCAAGGCCCTTCCTCCAAAACAAAGTTGTAGTCATTCAAATCCGCAAAACGAAACAAAAAGTAATCGTTCTCCATATCAATGAATTCATGTGTCCCCGACAGATTCCACATCTTCAAGAGTCTGTTCAGCAGAAACTTTACACCAACCTTTTTTCCCAAGAGCTTGATAATCACAGCTTGCTTCCAAGGCCTGCAACTCTCCTTATATAGCTCTTTTGAAAATCTGTATGTAGGACAGAAAGGATCATCTTGGTCATTTGATTGAACATCCTCCTCCATACCATGAACATCCAACTCCTCAAACCAATCCCTTTCCTCGACGTCATCCGTAACTTTCAGCCCATTCAACTGTAAGAGTGTATCCTTGTAAGATATCGGTTTCTTCCCTAACACTTCTTTAGCTTTGTCAGTACTACGCTTCAAGAGATCAACCTCCTCAGCGGATGGTTCACCAACCGCCGAGATCTCCATTAAACTTCAAAGTGCTCTATGTCGTAGCTTTTATTTTTTTTAGTACAAACCTATCCTTTTTTTTTCGGTAAACGTACAAACCTATCCTTTACCCGTAAACATGTTTCCCCATTAGCCAAGGATATAGGAACTCCAGCTCCATAGGAGCTCCCATTCATGGAAGCAATTCCAGAGATCACCCAAAGTGGAATATTTAACTGCTTCTCTCTCCCAAGAATGCCACAAATGGTTAAGGTTTCTAATTTCGTTCTGTCGAAAAAACCAAACACAATGAATTTAGGATCAAACAATCTATGATCAAATGGGAGCACGAAACACAATAAAAAACAACCAGAAAAGTAGAAACAATACCTTGGGAAGAAACTGAGATGGTACCACAAGGGTGGTACACCGGAAGAAGCAGTCAAGGTTAAACTATGCGATCGGACTTCGCCGTGTGGAGATTTGCTCTTCAACCCACGCAAGGAAGAAAAGCTTCTGAACCCAAAGAGCAACACCTATATCTCTAGCATCTGTCTTCGAGAGGGTATTTTGGTCTGCTGTATTTTCTCTTTTTCCTACTTACCCGGCTATCTATAGAAAACCACCATCAACTTCAGATTCTAAACAGTGCAAATGGCTGGTTTTCTACACCAAATGTGAAATTGCTATGCAAATAGCATAGATAGGGAACTTCAACAAATCTCTTTACCAAACATAGACTTTCTGGAATGCCAAGTTTATTTGCATGGGAAAATTTTCAGATCTCTCCAACCAAACACCACCTAAATATATTTGAAAATATCAGGATCCTCACGAAAGCATGAGTTCGCAAAGTGTTTTGTGGGTGGAAGTTTTCGTATTGAATGTTGCTACGAAGCCAGGATGTATCCTAGACAGCATAGTAGTTAGAATGCATCTGGGCTTTATAGTGTTGGACCTCTTGGGATGGTATTTGGGTTTTTTGTTGGGCTCAGATTGCAATGATATATGCATGATGTATATTACTAAAAAAGTTTGCTTTTCTCAATTAAGATAATAAAAAGAGGGTCAATGTCTGTCTGGAATTCTTACCCACCTTTTGGACTTAACATCCTTATTCTTTACAATTATATTGTCCAGCTAGGGCCAGCACTAATTATTATTATTAATTTTTTTTTTTATTTTCAGCTGCAAGGAGCCTGTTGAATCATTAACGCTTGAAGAAGTAGCTGAGCAATGAACTATATGCTTGAGTTAGATTAATGAAATTCATGTTCCAAATGTTACAGATGTGTTTGAATACCCATCAAAAGAAAGGGAAGCAGCTTGCAATAAATTGTTTTGGCTGTTGGATCTCTCCATCTTCAATGAAAAATAATTCTGTTTTGTCTAGACAAACTCTTGAAAGTGCGGTTGAGTTTTGGTGATTTGAAAGGAGTCATATAATTATATAAACTACAATTGAATACCATATAACCAAATGCAGGTAGGTAATAATATATAATTAAATAAGCTGGTCTTCATGGAACTATAGTGACCTTTTACCAGAATTTGGTAATAAATTAAAGAATCATGATAAGCCTTTTCTTTTTCGTTTTTTTGGAAACATGACATGCCTTTTCTGGTCGCATTGTTGATATATAATTTCGGCGATTGATAGGATTAGGCACAAGCAGTGCATCACAAAAGCTCCATGTGACCCAGTTCATGAAATACACTGTAATGTGTGATGCAACAAACACAATTTCGTTCCTTTACGTGGGAAAAATATTCCATACATTCGATGTATGGTACATCTGTCCAATGTCCAAGAAAAAAAAGATTCTGAGAATTTACATGTGAATAAAAATAAAGAAGTAGAGTAGAATGGAAAGAATTTTTTCAAAATTGAGAAAAATGAGTACCTAATAACATACAACGGCTGTATTGAAGTTTCTCTCCTTTATCTAAATATCTATGGTACTACTGCTGTACCATTCACTCAGTGCATTTATCCAATAAAAAATAGGAAATGACTGTTATGCTTGCATGAAAAGAAGAGAAAAATATTTTTTTACCTAGGTGTCACTTGTTGAATGGCAGATGTACATATTACAGACGTACAGAAAGAATAAATCTTTGGTGATACTGTTACACCAAATATTCAATACATTTCATCAATAGAAATATTATATGTCAGTTAAAATTCACTTTTCTTTGCCAAATTTTTTTCTCTCTTATAATATGTAATGATTATATTAGTGAGATATACTAAATCTTGGTGCAACAGTAGCACGAAAGATTTATTCGTACATAAGATAATCTTCTCCCTTACGTGTGTGCACCCTCATGCAATCACGCTTTGCTGACTTGGTCCCTTAGGCTTGCTGAAAAGGATAAATTTTTTAATACACAATTAAATTTTTCTCTAAAAACGCACACACCACGAGCCATGCATTTATGAGTTTAGATTGATGTAAGGTAACCCAATAAAAAGCGTTATGTGTTTCTCTCAGGCAATAAGTATAACAATTGGGTCGATTAGAGTATGTTTTGTACTTTGTTTTTTTTTTTTTTTTTTTTCCGATTATTTGTCCGTTCATAGATGGAGCTTTCACACGCAGCTGTCCATCGAATTTGAACCCTGTTGTCCAGCTGTCCCGGAACTTCCAAGTTCAAAGTTCAAACGTAAATAGAAACGCATTCATATTTATCCAAAAACAACATAAAACATCATCTCTCTTTCACCTTATTTTATGCTGAATGGATGCTTACCATGCCCATAATCTCTTACCTAATTTCTGCTACTTCATTCCTCCATCGTAATGGTAACTAAAAACGTCATGGATTTATTCTACTCTTAACATTATATTATGTGTTAATTAAGATAATGTGGGCGCGTGAATCATTCATTAACTATCTTAATACATAAGGTACCCCAACACAGTCCTGGTGGGAATATTCCTATTTCTAAATGATAGTGTCATGATTAAATATTGAAATAAGAAATGTCAAATATAATCAAAAGTTTATCGTTACATTGGCATTTTTAAAGTTTTCAAATTAAAGCCACTTCATATGATTTTAGCCGTCAACGTGAAGTAATATTCCTTCCTCGTGGTTGTGACAACAAACTTCTTCAAAGCTGCTCACAAAAGCCATATAGATATTTCCCTTCAATAGCTTTATCACTCGTTCACCGTCCTATAACCAAACCCAGTCACTGGTTGTTATGTGAGTAGCCACTAGCCAACAACATAAACATAACATAACAACAACAAAAAATAAATAATAAAAAAAGAGAGTAGGCGTCAAGTGTGACCCACCACCATGTGCTTGTGCCACTTGTGGGGACTCTTTTTGCTTATTTTTCCATACATGCAAGCTGGGAATTATAGTAAAAAACAAAGACCATAAAGTGTCCCCACTACAACGGTCGAGTTTTGATCCAATCTTTAATGTTTGTTTGAATTAATTAATAAATACACATTGAAATAAAATAAATTCCCCCCCCGTTACTTTGCTCCTTTTAACTGGTCAAGTATATTATAAACTGCGTGCGCTTTATTTTCGGACCCGTCACGGATTTTTTCCTTTTTCGTCGGTCATGTATATGAATCAGTAAAAGGTAAACGGAATCGTCCTTTTGCGCAGGACGAACGGCGTCGTATCATTATCTAGTTAGCTTTTTTTTTTTAGGATACAGTTAAATTTTTTCATGAATCATCTTAGCGACCTCCTGTTATATTAATAATATATTATTTGGAACATGTTTTATTGAGAGAGCTTAAAAATAAAACAATTATATCCTAAAAAATAATCAAATTCAAGCAAGCTGGTACATATGGTTTATTTTAAGTATATAAATTATTATTTAATATGTATAAAGTGTACTTAATAAAAGCCACGTAATTTTATACAAGTGATTTCATTAAATTAGTAGAAGATAAAAATATATATTATATAAAAAGGAAGGTAATATGAAAGTAAAAAGTTGAAAAATTTAAAAATACTTTAAGCTAAATATATTTAGGGTTTGATGTTTTTCTAGAAAATAAAATTATCCCGTATACACACATAAAAGTGTGTTGGACCCATATGGGGTCATATCAAGAGAAGAAAGAGAAAGAGAAAATATAAATCTCACATACTTTTTTATATCTGTAGCAGATAAAATTATCTTCTACAATACGAGAAACATTAATCTCATATTTTTGAGAAAAAGTATCTAATGTTCCTTTAGATAACTTTATCTAATATTTACCAAAACAACATCATTTTGAGATTAAAAAATTAAAATAATCTCATTTCAGTGAATATTAACAAAATTATCTAAAATAACTTAAAAAAAAAACAAACGTAGTAAGCACCAAAATTCGGTGCTCATCTCTCTCTCGTAAATGGAGAAGTTTCTATATCATTTAAACCATTATTTTTCTCTTTAATTCCCTTTTAAGTCCTTTTGGTGCTTTCTCCCACTCCCAAAGAAGGAGACAAGTAAGAGAGAGAAGAGGGACTTTTGTGGGTCTCTCATGCTTCAGTAGTCTCTTATGTGAGCGAGCGAGCGAATGAGTGCTAAACAAATAAAGCTTTTTGAGTAAGCTAATCAATCCTCTTTTCTCTCCCTCAAATCTCGCACCCCATTAGGTTTCTACATTCTCTAGACTGATTCACTCTCTCAATAAGAAACCTTTTCTGTACCATTTGCTCCTCTTTGGTACCTTCTACTGTGAAAAACCGATTCACATGTCAGATTACTACATTTTCTGTCATTCCTTGTAGTACCCTTCCCTTTGTCCAAGTAAAGATTCATCTTTTATGTAAGGCCTCCAATTTTGTAGTGCATTTGTATCGAGGGTTGCTCATCTGAGATTTGACCGTTACTTCTTGTTGCAGGTTATGATGTTCACCGAAGGCCTTGACAAAAATGCACTTCGATGGGTTAGAGAGGTAATTTTCACTTGTTAAATTTGTTTCCTTTTTTATTTTCATTTTTTATTTTTTTCTTTTTCCAACCTTGATTTCTTCACGGTATATCAAAATGGGCTTCTCTTACTTTACCTTCATATTTATAAAGGTTCTTTTTTTTATGCTGATGAGTGATGATTAGAAGGAAGTTCCATTCTGGAACTCCCCTACCTTGAGATCACATTAATATTTTTAAAGTTCTGATTTTTTATTTATTTATTTTCAATTTTGGTTTGTGATTAGAAGGAAGTTCCATTCTCCAACACCACCTTGAGATCACATTAATATTTGTGAAGTTCTGATTGTTACTATTATTATTTTTGTGATTAGAAGGATGTTCCATTCTCAAACACCACTTTGAGATCTCGCAATGATCCCATCAGTGGGATGAAGAGTGGAAGTGGCAGAGGGTTTGGATTACCACCTCCAGCAAAATTCAGAAGTGGGCATCTTCCTGCAAATGCTATCCCTGTGTCAACAGTTATTCCGGCTGAGACCGGTGATAGTGCTTCGGATTCTGATAATGATGCTAGCATTGATTCCGAGGAGGAAGTTTATGGTGGCAGGTATTCATTGGATTCTTCACCCCAAGACCATAGAGTCCCCAATGGTGCTGCTAGGAGATATGAGAACCTTAGTCAAAGGGGACCCCCCCGGTATGGGAGTGATTATACATACTCTGAGGTCAGTTCTTCCAGGGAAACACTGGTAGGGAGAGCCGGTGTTGCGAGGGACCCATTGATGAGGAGGGCCGCAAATGTGAGGCAGAGTGGTTTCACTGAGGAAGAGTCGTCTGATTCTGCTGCTAGCTCAGAGTTCTCTACCACGCAGGTAGGAAGTATCAATGGCACTCTGCCAAGAAATAGGGCTTATGTGTCAGAAGGGTATGCTTCTAGTGTGCCTTCAAGGATGAATGTGCAAAGGGCTGCAGAAAAGGTATGAAATGGTAGATATGATATAACCTATTGAAGTGCATGGTTGTGATGTGCCTATATACTACCAAGAATGATATTTTCCCTGTCCTAGACAGATTAGGTAGGGATATGGCTGAGTTTGTTAGCCTTGCACCCGGTTATACTTCTATATTATTGCCTAATGGCTAATTAAACATTGTCTGTATGTAAAAGATATGGGGCTTGTAAAATTGTGACTGTAAGTGGAATTTATATGAAACTCCTGCACCTGGTATTTTCGCCAGGTTAATTGTTAATATTTATTTTTTGTTACAAAACTTTGGATGGTGATACAAAAAGTATTGCCTTTAAAATAGTTGTTTTCTAAGCCATTGGGATTGGTCTAGTGGTGAGAGATTTGGATAGTTTGCATGAGATTATAGGTTCAAACCTCAGTGCTACCAGTATCCAAAAAAAATAGCTGTTTTCCTTGTACTAATTAATACAAATTTGATTTTGCAAACTGCTGCTTACTGTAATTTAAAATTTATATTTGATAAGGTAGATGTTGCATTTCTCACTAACTATTGTTGTATTGGCACTGTGCCTTTTTCTTCTTCACTCATTATTTCCTAATAAAATTTTCTCATATTTGGATTTTAATTGTTTAACTGCTTACTCTCTCCATATGTAATATCTTATCTGGCTGAAATCAGTCTAACTTACTGATTTGTACTGTGAAAATCTGCAGAATGGAAGATTATCTGATGATGACGATGATGACATTCCCAGTGCGCCCCCATTTTGTGGTTCTACGCAAGAGATCAGACAAACACATGAAGAAAATCCCTCATCTGGAGCACATACTACTCCAAACCAAGCAAAATCTAGTACTTTGAAATCTATGTCTGGTGATAAGATAGAGAACCATGTTGGAGATGGGAGCCCTGACCAATTTGTTAGGTTAGTATATTTGATAAAATAAGTATATCACAGCACTTGGGTTCTTAGCGTCTTTAAAAGTACATGACTTCCTTGTCACACCGCATGTACGAACGTAGAGCAATTGAATATCATTTTAATCTTGATGTATATACATTCACAGAACTGCTACTGGTTCAGAAGCTGCTGCATCTTCAAATTCACACCCACCTCGCCTTCCAACATTTCATGCAAGGTATCATCCTTCTTGATTGTGCTAATACTTTTCTCCTTAAGTATGTGCTCATATTGCTATGTGAATCCATTTCAGTGCTCTTGGGCCATGGCATGGAGTGATTGCATATGATGCTTGTGTGCGTCTTTGCCTTCATGCTTGGGCAATGCAGTGCATGGAAGCTCCAATGTTTTTGGAAAATGAATGTTCTTTACTCAGGGATGCATTTGGGTGAGTTAAGACTTAAGACTCTTCCTTCACTACTATTTCTTCCTTCACTACTATTTCTTCCCTCTCCTTCCTCAAGTCTTGATGTAATTAATTCTGGTAAAGACACTCTTGCTTTACCCTATTATGTAGTTCATGAATAGAAACAAGTGCTAATAACTGTACATGGTCTGGTTTCATGAGTGGATTATGTCATGCTGAATCTGGCCAAAAAATTAATGAAGAAAAAAAAAACTATGTTATGCTGAGACCATGGAAAAAGTAAAGATGGAGGTCGCGGGATTCCATTCTGAAAATTTCTGGTTCAGAAATAACTAGGGGAACAACAGCGGACAGTCTTGCTCTTGTCATTAAATAACAAAACTGAGCCAAGGTCCTAACTTACTGTGTGAATATCTAATGCCAATCTTGCTTGGGCGCTGTAGTATGTCTTGACTCTTAATATCCTGATATGTAGGAGCTATATTCCGGTTCAAATGACTGATAACTTTTTCTTGATACGTGTTATATATACCCCACCTAGTGGGGTAAGGATTGGTTATTGTAGCATTTGAATCTTATATTTCCTGGTTATCAATGTTGTCCTTAATTCTTATTCTTATTGTGTTATTATTGTTGGATATAAAACTATTCATGTGCCTTCGTCTAAAAGTTTAAGCTTTTAAAACAGTTTGGTCCTTAACATGTTATCATAGACTCTAATCTATAACTAAGTGATCAAGAGTTCAATTCTTGTAGCTCTCATTCTTCTAATAAAAGTTGAAGTTAAGCATGAGGTAAAATGGGCTTGTGCATTGTATATGCCTTGAAGCCCAAAAGGCTCAAGGTTCTTGTGTGAGAGGGGCATGTTGGATATAAACTGTAAAGAATCAATTTAACCCAAAAGCTTAAGCTTTTGGGTTTATTAATGATTTTGTATATCTCAACACGCCCCCTCACACGAGAGCCCACTGGGCTTGAAGTGTGGACAATGCACAGGCCCACCTACCTGTACGAAGAAAGAAATTCCACTTGAAAGAAAGTGGGGGGCGGTGAGGATCGAACCCGGTACACCGAGGCTCTGATACCATGTAAAGAACCAATTCAACCCAAAAGCTTAAGCTGTTGGGTTTATTAATGATTTTGTATATCTCAACATAAACCTTCTGTAGAATATGTAGAATATTCTAGATAGTATTTATTGATGTAGTTAGTAGTTGTATATTTATTGATGTAGTTGGTGGTTGTATATTTATTAAAGTAGTTGAGGTAGTTGGATGTACTCAATACATTCAAGTGGGTTGCTGGAACAAGGACTCGAGTTAGGATCCTGGCAGTCTAGAGTATCTTCATGTGTTTTGCACCTGTTGTAAAATTTTCCCCATTTACCAGGAGGATCACAAGGAGGATCATTAGTTTCAGGTATAGTTGCTCCCCCTGTTTCCTTCCCAATAACTCCCTCTGTTTCCAAAGGCCAAGGTAAGACAGCAACATCATTTGGTTTCCCAGGCTTATCTTCATCCATACCAAGACCAATAGACTCCCCCTGAAGAGAAGTCGGGGAAAAAAAGGATTGTGTCTCATAAAAGGTAACGTCCATGGAAACAAAAACCTTACGGAGAGAAGGTGAGTAACACTTATAACCTTTTTGATTAGGGGAATATCCTATGAAGACACATCTGATGGATTTAGGGTCAAGTTTGGACCTTTGATGTGGAGGAATATGCACAAAAACCAGACAACCAAATATTTTGGGAGGAAGAGAAGAAAGAGCATTGAAAGAAGGAAAAGATTTAGTAAGGCAGGATAAAGGATAATGAAAATGTAGTACCCGAGAAGGCATCCGATTAATAAGATAAGAGGCTGTCAAGATGGCTTCCCCCCACAGATATTTAGGGACATGCATTGTGAATAAGAGAGCTCGAGCAACTTCAATTAGATGTCTATTTTTCCTTTCAGCCACTCCATTTTGTTGAGGGGTGTTAGGACAAGAACTTTGATGAATAATTCCATGCTGGTTTAGGTAATCTCCAAAAACAGAATTAAAATATTCAGTACCATTGTCTGTTCGCAGAATTTTGATAGAGGTTTGGAATTGAGTTTGAATCATAGCATGAAAGTTTTTAAAGGTGGATGCCGCATCAGACTTATCTTTCAAGAGGTATACCCAACATACCCTAGAATGATCATCAATGAAAGTAATAAACCAACGAGCACCCGAGACATTTTTTTCACGAGCAGGTCCCAAAATATCACTATGAATCAATGTAAAAGGAGAAGATTCATGATATTTTTTAAGAGAATAAGTGGCACGAGAATGCTTTGCAAGCTGACATATATCACAAAGAAGGGAACTTGGCTTTTTATTGATGAACAAGTTCGGGATAACTTCTGAAGATAGACAAAATTTGGGTGTCCTAACTTACGATGCCATAACAAAACATCATTACAGTCATCTGATAAACATAGAGAGTGGTTTGAAAAAATCCTCCTTTCACAAGGATCCTCTTTAAAATAGTAGAGCCTTTCTTCCTCTCTAGCACTGCCAATCATCGTCCCCGAGTCCTGTTCCTGAAAGGTACAAGCATTTGCAGAGAACTTAGCAACACAATGCAACTCAACAGTAAGTTTGCTAATTGAGATGAGGTTACAGGTAAGAGAGGGAACATGAAGGACTGAATTCAAAATAATATGCTCAGAAAGTTTAATGGATCCCTTCCCCGAATTAGTGGAGAAATTCCCATTAGCTGTTCTTATTCGTGACGGGTGATAGTAAGGGGTATAGGAGAAAAATAAGGTTGCATTACCTGTCATGTGATCAGAGGCCCCTGAATCAAGAATCCAACGATTACTACGTTCGACATGGAATGCCATACCTTTTTGAGCAACATGACTAGTTGCCTCGGCAGGTTGAGATATCAGTTTCTGAAATTGCTCATACTGGGCCTTAGAGAAGAAAACACCATCAAGGTTTGAAGGGACATGAGACACCTCCCCTTTATCTTCGGAAGATGCTTGATTAGCATGATTCTTGTTCTGTCCTTTTGGTTTCCAGTTTGGTGGTTTTCCATGAATTTCTCAACATTTTTCACGGGTGTGACCACCCTTATTGCAATGAGAACACCAACGGTCAGATCGTTTTGAGTCCCCAGAAGGCGAAAAACATTCTTTGCTATAAGGGCAGACCCATCAGAGGACTAAGAGTCCTTATCACCCAACATTACTTTTCGACGAAGCTCCTCCCTTCGTACTTCAGAAAAAGCAGTAGCAAGGGAAGATAATGGGTTTTGCCCCAATATTCTTCCACGAACATCATCCAGATCAGAATTAAGGTCAGCAAGAAAATCATAGAGACACCTTTTCTCTATATAATTTTTGAACCTTGCATTAGCTTCTAAACCTTGAAGGTCTGCTTTATCATAAAGATCCAACTCTTGCCACAGTGTTTTTAGAGCAAGGAAGTATTCAGTAACAGTCATCCTTCCTTGGCGTAATTCTTTCACCTTGGTGTTGAGATCAAAAGCCTGAGATGCATTGCCCAGGTCAGAGTAATATTCCCAAATTTCTTGAGCTGTATCAAGAAATAAATAAGTTTGACTGATATCTGGTTGCATAGAATTAGTCAGCCATGTCACGACTAAAGCATTTTCAGTCACCCAAGCATCATAACCAGGTTCACGTTCTGCTGGTTTTACCTTTTTTCCGTCAAGATACCCTATCTTCCCTTTAGCCTGGATAAACAACTTAACAGATTGACACCATTGCACATAGTTCCTACCGTTTAAACGGTGATTGGTGATCTGCATTGCTGGGTTGTCTCCAGAAGACGAAGAGTTGGGAAGGGGAGAGGTTCCAGACGAAATTTCAGAAATTTCAGCATCCATGGCTTTCTGATAGGTACCCAGAAAAAAGTTCCTCCAAATACGATTTTGACCCTCAAACAGGAAGAGGGTTGCTCGCCAAAGTCAATGAATGAGAGTAATCTTGGCCACAGTGAAACAATAATTGCTACAGTAATGAACAGTACTGCTACGGGTCTTCTGTGGGCTGGCTCGGAATTTTGTTCTGAACCTAATGGTGGCCTTGGTTTTGGTAAGGATTCTGGATTGGGAAGTGGCTAAAACGAAAAAAAGGAATAGGAAAATGACTTAAAAATAAATCAGAACGGGGAAGAGACTGGAATATAACCAGCTCTTGATACCATGGAGAAAAGAAGAAGTGGAAGAAGTGTTTTGTCTGAATAATACTTTCTTGATTCATTGAGAGACCCAATGGGTCCTTTTTATATTGAGTACATCCAACTACCTCAACTACTTTAATAAATATACAACCACCAACTACATCAATAAATATACAACTACCAACTAAATATACAACTACTAACTACATCAATAAATACTATCTAGAATATTCTACATATTCTACAACTACCAACATTGATATGCCTATTGCTCTTCGAAAAGGTACTAGATCTTGCACTGCTCATCCTATTTCTCATTATATCTCATATGAAAAGTTGTCTCCAGGTTTTCGTGCTTTCAACACTATGTTAGATAGTACCAAGATACCCAAAAATATCCAAGAAGCACTTGATGACCCAAAATGGAGGAATGCAGTATTAGAAGAAATGGATGCACTTACAAAAAATGCAACATGGGAGTTTGTGACATTACCTAAAGGAAAGAAAACTGTTGGTTGCAAGTGTGTGTTCACAATAAAATTCAATGCTGACAATAGCATCAATAGGTATAAGGCCAGATTAGTTGCTAAGGGATTTACTCAGACTCATGGGATAGATTATCAGGAGACATTTGCTCCTGTTGCCAAACTTAACACTATCCGCGTTCTGCTATCTCTTGCCTCTAACCTAGATTGGCCATTGCAACAGTTAGATGTTAAGAATGCCTTCTTGAATGGTGATCTACATGAGGAAGTTTACATGGATCCACCTCCTGGTTTTGAAAAAGGGGATGGTTCTGTGTGCAAGTTGCAGAAGTCTCTCTATGGACTTAAACAATCTTCCAGAGAATGGTTTGGGAAATTTACTCAAGCTGTTAAGGGAAGTGGGTTCACCCAAGCTCAGACTGATCAGACTTTAGTTTTTAAATACTCCGACAAAGGAAGAATTGCTATTCTGATCGTTTATGTTGATGACATAATTGTCGCTGGTAATGATAGCGAGGAGATAACCTCTTAAAAAAATGTTTAGCTGACCAGTTTGAACTAAAAGATTTTGGATCTCTCAAATATTTTCTTGGCATGGAAATTGCTTGGAGTAAGGAAGGAATTTCTTTAACTCAGAAAAAATACATTCTAGACCTGTTGCAAGAAACAGGTATGCTTGGGTGCAAGCCGGCAGAGACTCCAATTGAAGCTAATATCAAGATGGGAGTTGAAGACGGGGAAGATGTTGATAGGGAACAGTACCAGAGACTAGTGGGGAAATTAATCTATTTGTCTCACACTCGTCCTGATATTGCTTTTGCTGTGAGCATGGTTAGCCAATTCATGCATTCTCCTAAGGAAAAACACCTTAGTGTTGTTTATAGAATTCAAAAATACCTCAAAAATACCCCTGGTCGAGGAATTTTCTTTAAAAAGGGGCACAAAAGGATGATTGAAATCTATACATATGCAGACTGGGCTGGCTCTGCAATGGATCGAAGATCTACTTCAGGATGTTGTACTTATGTCTGGGGAAACCTTGTGACCTGGAGAAGTAAGAAACAAACTGTTGTTGCAAGAAGTAGTGCAGAAGCGGAGTTTCAGACTCTAGCCCATGGTATTTGTGAAGGAATTTGGTTACGAAGGCTTCTGGAGGAGTTGAAGATCTCTTATTCCCTACCTATTAGAATATATTGTGATAATAAGGCTGCTGTCAGCATTGCTCAAAATCCTGTTCATCATGACATAACAAAACATGTGGAAGTTGATCGTCACTTTATCAAAGAGAAATTAGAAGACGGTAGTGTATGCTTGACATATATACCTACCAAGGAACATACGACAGATATCCTCACCAAAGGATTACTTAAGCCGACCTTTGAGAATTTGATCAGCAAGTTGGGAATGATCAATATATATCTCCCAACTTGAGGGGGAGTGTAGAATATGTAGAATATTCTAGATAGTATTTATTGATGTAGTTAGTAGTTGTATATTTAGTTGGTAGTTGTATATTTATTGATGTAGTTGGTGGTTGTATATTTATTAAAGTAGTTGAGGTAGTTGAATGTACTCAATATAAAAAGGACCCATTGGGTCTCTCAATGAATCAAGAAAGTATTATTCAGACAAAACACTTCTTCCACTTCTTCTTTTCTTCACCTTCTATATAGTTGGTCCTTGACAATTACATCCATTCTTATTGGATTTTTTTTTGTTTTTTATTTTTGAATCTGTAGATTGCGACAGGTGCTATTACAATCAGAGGATGAACTTATGGTGAAGTGCAATGCAGAGCATTCCAGTGAGGGTATTGCTCCAAAACCCAAAAAACTTATTGGCAAGATGAAGGTGCAAGGTACATTTTCATGTTATCTCTTACTATTCAAATTATTTAACTTCTCCATAGTGAGTCGTTATTGAGACATTGTTCCCTTTGCAGTACGTAAAGTCAAAATGGGCCTGGACCCTCCTACTGGCTGTAGCATGTCATCACTAATGACACATAAAATTAAAATGGAATCTGTGCGACACCATTTCTTCAATATGCAGTCAACACTCTCTTCTGGATGGCAAGCTCTCAGAAAAATCCGATTTGTCCCACGCTTGCCTGCAAATGGTTCCCTGGCACGACAAAGCTTGGCATATGTGCATGCCAGCACTCGCTACTTAAAGCAAGTGTCTGGACTCTTAAAAGTTGGTGTTACAACTCTCCGGAGCAGTTCATCATCCTATGAAGTTGTGCAAGGTATGTGAAAATCCAGCCTGCATTATAATCATTCATTATCACTATCCATGCATTAAGGGGGGAATTGTAGGGAAAAAAATTCCTCTCTCTATATTTCAATTATGATTATTCATGAAATATCTAGACATGTGTTTAACTTAAGGAAGCAATTTGGCTGAAATGAACTTTGGCCTTCTGTGTAAATAATGCATTTGGTTCCTGGTGTTTTATTCTTTGTTGGTTGTGTCACTCCTTACTCCTTAGAATTGAGTTAAAGAATTGAGAAATTTACAGTAACAATGGGTGCTTAATATACAAGCTGTCCTTGTGCCCAGGGATTGGGGTTATGTTTTAAGTAACTTGTTTAGATGTTTATGCTTGTCTGAAAAAGTTACTTTCTAAATGTAGAAGCACTCAAAACATTTGAGACATCACTCATGTAAATCCCTTAACTAATATTTCATTATCATCCCTTCATAGCTGTTATGTACTCCTTTGGTGTTGTTAGACAAATTCATGGCATATACACTCCTTAATAGTTAGTATTGTAATATAAGACTGAAATGTATTTTTTTCATATATAGATTGACACCCCAAAGGGTTCTTTTTATACATATTACAAGGTAGTTAAGGAGATGAAGTAATAAATAAAATACACAGTAACCGAAGAGGCATCACACCATTCAAAGATACTAGTAGCTAGAAACAAGTAAAAAACTCTAGAATATTCTACACTCCCCCTCAAGTTGGGAGATATATATTGATCATCCCCAACTTGCTAATTAAATCCTCAAAGATGGGTTTATGTAATCCTTTGGTGAGAATGTCGGCTGTTTGCTCCTTGGTAGGTATATATGACAAACATACACTACCCTCCTCCAATTTTTCTTTAATAAAATGACGATCAACCTCCACATGTTTGGTTCTATCATGATGTACAGGATTTTGAGCAATACTGACTGCAGCCTTATTATCACAATAGAGTCTGATAGGTAGAGAATAAGATATTTTTAACTCTTCAAGGAGTCTTCTTAACCAGATTCCTTCACAAATGCCATGGGCTAGCGCCCGAAATTCTGCTTCTGCACTGCTTCTGGCAACAACAGTTTGTTTCTTACTTCTCCAGGTCACAAGATTTCCCCAGACATAGGTACAATATCCTGAAGTGGATCTTCGGTCCATTGCAGAGCCAGCCCAATCAGCATCTGTATAGATTTCTATCATCCTCTTGTGTCCCCTTTTAAAGAGCATTCCTCGACCAGGGGTGTTTTTGAGGTACTTGAGGATTCTATAAACCGCACTAAGGTGTTTTTCCTTAGGAGAATGCATGAATTGTCTAACCATGCTAACTGCAAATGCAATATCAGGCCGAGTGTGAGATAAGTAGATCAGCTTCCCTACCAACCTTTGGTACTGCTTCCTGTCAACATCTTTTCCATCTTCAATTCCCAATTTAATATTGGGTTCAACAGGAGTTTCTGCTGGCTTGCACCCGAGCATACCTGTTTCTTGTAGCAGGTCTAGAATATATTTCTTCTGAGATAAGGAAATTCCCGCCTTGTTACGAGCAACTTCCATTCTAAGGAAATATTTGAGTGATCCAAGATCCTTCAGTTCAAACTGATTAGCTAAACCCCCCTTTAAAGATTTTATTTCCTCCCAGTCATCACCAGTGACAATTATGTCATCAACATAAACAATGAGGATAGCAATTTTGCCACTATCAGAGTGTTTAAAAAATAAAGTGTGATCAATCTGAGCTTGGACAAATCCTCTTTCTTTAACAGCACGAGTAAACTTTTCAAACCACTCTCTAGGGGATTGTTTAAGTCCATAAAGAGACTTATTCAACTTGCATACTGAACCATCTCCTCATGTAAGTCCCCATTTAAGAAGGCATTCTTTACGTCCAATTGATGCAAGGGCCAATCAAGGTTGGCAACAAGTGATAGTGTAGGACTCGGATAGAGTTAAGTTTGGCAACGGGAGCAAACGTCTCCTGATAGTCTATCCCATAAGTCTGAGTAAATCCTTTGGCAACCAATCTGGCCTTATATTTGTTGATGCTGTTATCTGCATTAAATTTTATTGTGAACACCCATTTGCAACCTACAGTTTTCTTTCCTCTGGGAAGTGTCACGGATTCCCAAGTTCCATTTTTCTTAAGTGCATCCATTTCTTCAAAAACTGCATCCCTCCATTTAGGGTCATTAAGTGTCTCTTGGATATTTTTTGGTATTTTTGTACTGTCTAATATAGTGTTGAAAGCACGAAAACCTGGAGATAACTTTTCATATGAAATGTGATGAGAAATAGGATGAGCAGTGCAAGATCTAGTACTTTTTCGAAGGGCAATGGGCATATCTAGGTCAGATGTACCGGTGTTCTCAAGTGGATTGCTGGAACTAGGACTCGGGTCAGAATTCTGGCAGTCTAGAGGATCTTGAGGAGATTTACGCCTGCTGTAGAATTTTCCCCATTTACCGGGAGGATCTCCAGTCTCTGGTACAGTTGTTGTCCTTTTTTCCTGTACATTAACTCCCCCTGTCTCCATAGGTAAAGAAACAACACTTGTTTCCAAGGGTAAAGGTAAGACAGTAGAATTATTTGGAATCCAAGACTTGTCTTCATTTACACCAATAGACTCCCCCTGAAGACCTTTCGAAGAGAAGGTGAGTAGCATTTGTACCCTTTTTGATTAGGAGGATATCCTATGAAGACACATCTAACAGACTTAGGATCAAGTTTTGACCTTTGATGTGGAGGAATGTGAACAAAAGCCACACAACCAAACAACTTTGGAGGAAGGGAAGAGAAAGCCCGAAAGGAGGGGAAAAAACGGGTAAGGCAAGATATGGGAGAATGAAAATTCAGGACACGAGAGGGCATCCGATTGATGAGATATGAGGCAGTCAATACAGCCTCCCCCCACAGGTATTTAGGGACATGCATCGTAAACAAGAGGGCTCTAGCAACTTCAATGAGATGTCTATTTTTTCTTTCGGCCACCCCATTTTGTTGAGGGGTGTTAGGACAAGAACTTTGATGGATAATACCTTGCTTGGTTAGGTAATCCCCAAGAACAGAATTAAAATATTCAGTACCGTTGTCAGTTCGCAGGATTTGGATAGAGGTCTGGAATTGAGTTCGTACCATAGCATGAAAGTTTTTAAAAGTGGCTGCAGCTTCAGACTTATCCTTTAGAAGATATACCCAACATACTCTAGAATGATCATCAATGAAAGTAATAAACCAACGAGTTCCAGATATATTTTTTTCACGAGCTGGCCCCCAAATATCACTATGGATCAATGTAAATGGAGACGAAACATTATAATCTCTGAGGGAATAAGAAACACGAGAGTGTTTTGCAAACTGACAATCATCACAAAAAAAGGAACTTGGTTTTTTATTGATAAATAAGTTTGGAAACAGCTTTTGAAGATAAAAGAAATTTGGGTGTCCTAAACGACGATGCCACAACAAAACATCATTACAATCGTCTGATAAACATAAAGAGTGATTTGCAAAAATTCTCTTTTCATGAGAATCTTCTTCAAAATAGTAAAGTCCTTCTTCCTCTCTAGCACTGCCAATCATCAGCCCCGAATCCTGTTCCTGAAAAACACAGGTTTTGGCAGAGAATTTAGCAACACAATGCAATTCAGACGAAAGTTTACTAATAGAGATAAGGTTACAAGTAAGAGAAGGGACATGAAGGACAGAGTTCAGAGTAATATGATCATAGAGCTTAATGGATCCCTTTCCCGCAATATTAGAGAAACTACCATCAGCAGTCCTTATTCGTGACGGGTGATAATAAGGGGTATAAGAACAAAACAAGGATGCATTACCCCTCATATGATCAGAGGCTCCTGAATCAAGAATCCAACGACTACTACGATCAACATGGAATGTCATACCTTGTTGAGCAACATGACTAGTTGCCTCAGCAGATTGAGACATCACCTTCTGGAATTGCTCATACTGAGCTTTTGGGATGAATACACCATCGGAGTTTGGAGAGGCACGAGACTCCTCACCCTTATCATCAGAAGAGATTTGATAAGCACGACTCTTGTTCAGCCCCTTTGTTTTCCAGTTTGGTGGTTTTCCATGAATTTCCCAACATTTTTTGCGAGTGTGACCACTCTTATTGCAATGAGAACACCATCGGTCAGAACGTTTTGCATCACTAGGGGGACGAGGAGTATGTTTTGCTACTAGGGCAGATACATCGGAGGATTTAGAGTTCTTGTCTCCCAACATTACCTTTCGGCGAAGTTCCTCCCGTCGTACCATAGAAAAAGCAGCTGCAATGGAAGGTAACAGGTTCTGCCCCAATATCCTTCCACGAACATCATCAAGATCACGATTAAGGCCAGCAAGAAAATCATATAGACGTCTTTTCTCTAAATAACTCTTAAACCTTGCATTAGCTTCTAAACCTTGAAGATCTGCTGCATTATAAAGATCCAACTCCTGCCACAGAGTTTTTAAAGCAAGAAAGTATTCAGTAACAGACATCCCCTCTTGATGTAACTCTCTTACCTTGGTGTTGAGTTCAAAAGCTTGAGAAGCATTGCCTAGGTCAGAATAATATTCTTTAACGACATCCCAAATTTCCTGAGCCGTATCAAGAAACAAATAAGTTTGACTGATATCAGGATCCATGGAGTTAGTCAACCAGGTCATGACCAAGGCATTTTCAGTCATCCATTTATCATAATTAGGATCATCAGCTTCGGGTTTTTCCTTTTTTCCATCAAGATACCCCATTTTCCCTTTTGCTTGGATAAACAGCTTGACAGATTGATGCCATTGCACATAATTCTTACCGTTTAAACGGTGGTTAGTAATCTGTATAGCTGGGTTGTCTCCAGAAGACGAAGAACAGGAAAGAGGAGAGACATCGGAAATATTACCGGATAATTTTTCAGAATGTTTATTCTCATCCTCATTATTTCCAACTTCCATCCTTCTAAAAAGAAGGAGAGCAACAGGTCACGCCTATTGTCTTTGATAACGAAGAGGAAACAACTGGACTTAGCAAGAAAAGTGCTCCAATCGTGATTTAAACCCTCAGAACAGGAAGAGGGAAGCCAGGCGAGCTGTTCTGTGGAAGCCGCGTGACAAACGGAAGCCGGCAGGGTGGCGCGTGGCTCACACGCGCCGGAGAGGCAGATCTGTGGTGGCGGCGCGTGGCTGACGGTCCGGCGATGGGGCTGACGTGGGTCGACTCGGAAATGGCTTCTGAGTTCAGTGGTGGTCTTGGTTTCGTGATTGGAGGGGTCCAGATATGGTTTCTGAATTGTAAAAGCGAAACAGTGAAAAAAATGGAAAAAAGACGACAGAGGTTTACAAGAAAACCACAGGATAATCTGCTCTTGATACCATATTGTAATATAAGACTGAAATGTATTTTTTTCATATATAGATTGACACCCCAAAGGGTTCTTTTTATACATATTACAAGGTAGTTAAGGAGATGAAGTAATAAATAAAATACACACTAACCGAAGAGGCATCACACCATTCAAAGATAATAGTAGCTAGAAACAAGTAAAAAACTCTAGAATATTCTAAAGTTAGTAGCTAATAATTTTATCACAATTAAAATTGTATTGTTGCTATAGAGGTCAACATAAAGGTAGGATTGCATAGCGTTGACATAAAAGTCTTGGCTTCAATTCTTATTTTGTGGTCTGTAAGCTCTTATTGAGGCTTGTGGTGCCCTGACCTTAGAATGGGGGCAACCCCAGCCCCCTTTTTAATTTTAACTACCCCCCCACCACCCCAAAAAAAAAACAAACAAACAAAAAAACAATAATAATAAAATAAGGGCAACTGTGCTCAATCTGTAATGTATACTTCCTGGCTACAATTAACCTTAACAATGGTTATGAGATAGTCTTTTGGAAGGTATTCCCGTTGCAGCCGCTGTTAATTTTTTTTTCTTTTCATTTTCATAGTTTAATATAATTAACGATTGGCGAATTTGGAGATCTTTAGTTGCCTTTTACACTTTCTTACATGTTTATTATTTGTGTCTATGTAATTCAAGATATTTCAGTTCTAAGTATACCTGCATTATTCTCATTTCACTTATTAAGGTTTTTACTTGATCTTGTTTCATTCTAAATTATTTTCTGGCTATGCATGTGATCAGAGACGTACTCATGTTTTTTAAGACTGAAAAGCATAGTTGAAGAAGATGCCATTAGGTTGCAGCCTGGTTCTGGTGAAGCCCATATGTTGTAAGTAGTTTTTTTTTTTTTTTTTTTTTTGAGCTAAGATTTTTTGGTTGTACTGCTTGAATAAATTTGTGACTACTTTACAGTTTTCCAGATAGCCTTGGGGATGATTTACTTGTTGAAGTACAAGATTCTAAGGGAAAGCATTTTGGCCGTGTTCTTGTTCAAGTGGCTTCTATAGCTGATGATCCGGTAATATTTTCTATTGCATTTTTTCAGGGAGTTATTGGTGTTTGTCATGAGTGATGATCATTATAATAGAATTTATGTTCAATCTGAAAGCAGGCTGACAAATTACGCTGGTGGCCTATTTATCATGAGCCAGACCATGAGCTTGTGGGCAAGATACAACTTTATATAAATTATTCAACAAGTACAGATGACAATAGTCATCTCAAGGTAAGCTACTATGAACATTATGTAATTTTTTTAATATATAAACTATAGTAGTGAGAGCCTCAAATCTTGTAAGCTTTTCTTTCTTAAACCACTATCATACTATTATATGGGAACATAAAAAACTTGAGATTCTACTTAAAATTTAAAAGGTAATGTTACCTCATGTTAATTTCGTGTGGCTTCTTTTATAGATATTTAAAGTTATTTTGAGAATCTGTGTTAAGATCTCTAGAGCTGGATTTAGTTGATTAACATTACAAGGCATTAACTTTTTGGGACTGCCTGAAACACACTACTACAATTTTTTATTAAAGTGTATTTACCTTCATCAGACATATCCATTGCATGACTGGAATCTAAGTGTCTAACACAAATGAAATATTTTCATTTTATAGATACTAGGTGTCCCTCTCTTCTAACCTCTCCTCCTGGTTGAATGTGTCTCCAACAGAAAACCAGAAAAAAATATAGATATCCTTATTCCTTGACATCGTATCATTAGTATGTGTTTTAGGTTAGAGTTTTCATTTGCTACATGATATGATATTATCTAAATTCTTGAGTTTCTTAATATCTTGTGCCTCCCCATGTTACATTTTATTGTCTTTTTCTTGTGGTCCCAGTATGGCTCTGTAGCAGAGACAGTTGCATATGACGTAGTTTTAGAAGTTGCAATGAAAGTTCAGGGCTTTCAGCAAAGGAACCTATTGTTACATGGCCCATGGAAATGGCTTTTGACAGAGTTTGCATCATATTATGGGGTATCAGAGATATATACTAAGTTGAGGTAATGTGAAGTTAATTTTCTATTTTCTGCTTAAATATTTAATTTATTCAATGTGTAGTTTCACACTTTATTTAATTTATTATACTAGTGATGTTCATAACCTTCTCGTTAAATAGATATCTATCTTATGTAATGGATGTGGCTACACCAACAGCCGACTGCCTTAACTTGGTGTATAATCTGCTAGCACCTGTTTTCATAAAGGGCAATAGCAAGACTTCCTTGAGCCACCAGGAGGTATCATTGACTTTTTTTTATTCAAGTGATGTTACATTAACTGAACAGTGCAATCCACTTTTGTAGTTTTTCTAAGTTCTTCTGTGAATTCAACATTATTTTAGTCAATATACTTGAACTTATTGTTTTGTTAGCATTTGGTCACTTTCAAATTGATTGATTTTTTCGTCTTGTCTAACTCAGTATGATTTTGGTCATCTTATCAGAACCGAATACTAGGAGAGACCAAGGATGAAATTGAACAGATTCTCACTCTTGTTTTTGAGAATTACAAATCACTTGACGAATCATCTTTCTCGGGTATCACAGAGGTTTTCAGACCAGCATCTGGTCATTCGGCGCCTGCCTTGGAACCTGCTGTTAAACTCTACAAGCTTCTTCATGATATCTTATCTCCCGAGGCCCAAACTGCTTTCTGTCATTATTTCCAGGTTCGAGAAAATGGAGTTTTTCATGATGACAATTGCTAATTGAATACACATCAGTATAATTGACAAATTGTATTTTCCCAGGTTGCTGCAAAAAAGAGGTCCAGAAGGCATCTGAGTGAAACAGATGAATATATTACAAATAATAATGAAGGCAGTCTGATGGATAGCATGACTATGTCTACTGCTTACCAGAAGATGAAAACCCTATGCATAAATCTTAGAAATGAAATCTATACTGATATCCAGATTCATAATCGAAATATACTTCCTAGGTATTGATCATTTCTCAAACCATTTTTTATGTATTTAGTGTGCTAGAATTTTAATACAGGTTATGTATTGCTTCTCATCTTGAACTGTTCCTGTCTGTAAATGTATACTGTGTTATGAGAATTACAATTCTTACATCCAATCTTAACCGTTACTCTATGTTGAGATATATAAAACCGTGTTGAGATTTATAAAAACCATTAATGTAGCCTTACCCAACAGCTTAAGCTTTTGGGTTGAATTGGTTCTTTACATGGTATCAGAGCCTCGGTGTACCGAGTTCTTTACATGGTATTGGAGGGTGGTAACATAGAGACAAAGAATTTAGGACTCAGACTCCGCATAATTATAGAGACTCTGCATGTCACATGAGGAATCAGATGAATTTTCAACCTCAGCAATTAAGTCTTCCTTCTTATTGTCATGTCGTGTAACTACTGGAGTAGAAGATGTAGGTAACAGAAAGGGAGACTCAGACTCGAAGAAAATGGATGAAGCTTCTACACTATTCTCCTCTTGAAGCTGAGGGTGTAGAAAGTAAGACTCGGATTCATGGAAGTTAACATCCAAAGACAAAGAATTTAGGTTTTTAGTCTCTTTAAATAGAGAACTCTTGTACAAATATTATACAATTCAATTATATACATATCTTCTTTTCTAGTTGGTATCAGAGCTCTCGATTCTGAGGGCTCTGCTTCCGCAAATCACTACCACTAAAAACCTAATGGGCTAAGCCCAAATACACTTATAGAGTATTCTAACTAGTACAAAATAATAATAAAATAATTCTATTATTTACAGTATTCCCCCTCAAGCTAAGGAATGAATATTTATCATTCCCAGCTTGGTAGTAAGTTCTTGAAATCTATCATTAGGAAGACCCTTGGTTAAGACATCAGCCAATTGACGACCAGAAGGAATATATGGAGTAGTGATCAGTCCACTGCCTAATTTCTCTTTAATGAAGTGGCGATCAATCTCAATACTCAGACTCGAAGAAAATGGATGAAGCTTCTACACTATTCTCCTCCTGAAGCTGAGGGTGTAGAAAGTAAGACTCGGATTCATGGAAGTTAACATCCAAAGACAAAGAATTTAGGTTTTTAGTCTCTTTAAATAGAGAACTTTTGTACAAATATTATACAATTCAATTATATACATATCTTCTTTTCTAGTTGGTATCAGAGCTCTCGATTCTGAGGGCTCTGCTTCCGCAAATCACTACCACTAAAAACCTAATGGGCTAAGCCCAAATACACTTATAGAGTATTCTAACTAGTACAAAATAATAATAAAATAATTCTATTATTTACAATATTCCCCCTCAAGCTAAGGAATGGACATTTATCATTCCCAACTTGGTAGTAAGTTCTTGAAATCTATCATTAGGAAGACCCTTGGTTAAGACATCAGCCAATTGACGACCAGAAGGAATATATGGAGTAGTGATCAGTCCACTGCCTAATTTCTCTTTAATGAAGTGGCGATCAATCTCAATATGTTTGGTTCAATCGTGTTGAACTGGATTGTGAGCTATACTAATAGCTGAGTTGTTATCACAAAGTAACTTCATAGATCCTTCATATCTCACCTTGAATCATCTAGAATGATTTTCAGCCATAATAACTAACAGATACCTTGAGCCATAGCTCAAAATTCTGCTTCTGCACTTGATCTAGCAACCACATTTTGCTTTTTACTTCTCCATGTTATAAGATTTCCACAAAGAAACATACAATAGCCCGAAGTAGACCGTCGGTCAGTCACAGATCCAGCATAATCGGCGTCTGTATAAACTTCTAAGGATAAGTTTCCTCCTCTCTGGAACAATAGTCCTCTACCTGGTGTGCCTTTCAAATATTGGAGAATCCTGTCCACAGCTCGCAAGTGTTTCTCCCTCGGATCATACATAAATTGACTAACAACACTAACTGCATAAGCTAGTTAGATCAATCTGCCCACTATTCGTTGATATTGTCCTTTGTCAACTGGAGAGCTCTCATTTTCACTTCCTAGTCTGTGATTCTGCTCAATCGGAGTACTGGAAGGTTTACACCCAAGTTTTCCTCCTTCTTTAAAGAGGTCTAGAACATACTTCCTTTGACAAATAAATATCCCTTGCTTTGAATGAGCAACTTCTATCCCAAGAAAATATCTCAGTTTTCCAAGATCTTTAACTTCAAATTCAGTAGTCAATCTTTTTTTCAGAGCACATTTCTCACCTATATCATCCCCTGTTATAATAATGTCATCAACATAAACTAGAAGGATAGTGGTCTTACCTTCCTGAGAATGTTTAAAGAAAAGTGTATGATCTCCTTGGCTTTGCTTGTATCCCAATGAAAGCATGACTTTGGTAAATCTTCCAAACCAAGCACGCGGGGATTGCTTCAAACCATACAACGCCTTCTTTAACCTACAAACTTTATTATCTCTATTTGTAGAGTTAAATCCTGGTGGAATCTCCATGTAAACCTCTTCTTCTAATTCACCATTGAGGAAAGCATTTTTCACATCAAATTGGTTCAAATCCCAGCTAAAATGAGCAACGAGGGACAATAGTACTCTTACACTGTTCATTTTGCCCACTGGAGCAAATGTTTCTTCGTAATCAATGCCATAGGTCTCTGTGTATCCCTTGTCTACCAATCGAGCTTTATACCTCTCAAGAGTCCCATCAGAATTATACTTCGGAGTATACACCCATCTGCACCCTACTGTCCTTTTTCCATTTGGCCTGCCAACAACTTCCCATGTATTATTCTTCTCCAATGCATTCATCTCCTCATGCATGGCTTGAACCCAATTATCATCCTTTAATGCTTCATGTATCAATTTCGGGATTGAAATGGAGTCAAGTGCTGTAATAAAACTTCTATGCTGCAGAGAAAGATTCTTAGAGGAGACAAAATGAGAAATAGGGTGTTGGGTACAAGACCTTTTTCCCTTTTCTTACAGCAATGGGTAAGTCATCAGAATTAATATCAGGCTCAGGAATATAAGTAGTGTGTTCAGTACTTACCAGCGGTTCAGGCGATTGCAGTTGCTGATGGGGCAGTGTGGGTTGTTTCTTCCTTTGGTAGAATAGTTCAGGTGTCCCAGCTTTGCGTACTTTCTGTCTATCAATAGGAGGCATGTCACATGAGGAATCAGATGAATTTTCGACAATTAAGTCTTCCTTCTCATTGTCATGTCGTGTAACTACTGGAGTAGAAGATGTAGGTAACAGAAAGGGAGACTCAGACTCGAAGAAAATGGATGAAGCTTCTACACTATTCTCCCCCTGAAGCTGAGGGTGTAGAAAGTAAGACTCAGATTCATGGAAGCTAACATCCATAAGGACAAAGAATTTACGACTTGGAGGGTGGTAACATTTGTACCCAACTCTTACTTACTAGGGAGAATATGATGAATCAGATGAATTTTCAACCTCAGCAATTAAGTCTTCCTTCTCATTGTCATGTCGTGTAACTACTGGAGTAGAAGATGTAGGTAACAGAAAGGGAGCGTGTTGAGATATATAAAACCGTGTTGAGATATATAAAATCATTAATGTATCCTCATTACACTCTATTTATATCAAATGGCTGTAATTTATTAGTCACTTGAGCTCTTAGATATAAGTGAGATCACACCGACTAAGATTGAGAGTGTAACTTATGCTGGTATAAAATGATTCTGCCTTTTTTATTATTCTGTTCTATTTAATTGATGGTTACACAATGGGGCATACATCTATTATCACCTGGCTACCTGATGGAAATATTTAATGTAATTGTTATTAATTACTATCAGCTTTAATTGAAAAGTCAATATCTAAGCTTAGCAGTATTTGAATGATTAATATTATATTAATATGGGTGTTGGGTGACAACATGTTATTATTTCTTACCAAATATAGTGACTTTACTGAAGTCCCTCTCAGCGAAACAATGGAATTGGGAAAATAGGCTTTTGTTGCCTATTTTTCAACTATGATATTCATTATTGATTCTTATCAGACTGAATGATACCCCAATTTATTTCAGTTCTAATGAAAGTAAAGCTATTAGGCTAGCGTTACAGCTGATAATAACAACATAAGCATAAAACCACAGTAACAAACTAGCTTGTATCAGTTATAGTTCATAAATAAAAACTTGGACAGCAATAGAACATAAGGAAGGTTTTATTATGTTAACTCTGATAGCATTTAGCTTTATTATTTTAATCTTTTTTCCTGTTTATGGTATGTTTGTCACTTTAACAATACCTATTATCTTGAATTTGTATTCGCATTTGACAGCATATTTTTCTTAGTATAATGGTTACTTCTTTTTTAAGCTTGACTCATGGGCATAGGAATCATCCTTTGAATCACTTTATTAAATGCATTTCAGACTAATTTTCCTTATGTGCAAGTGTTCTTGTGTTGTAGTTTGTCAAACTACTATTGTAGGTTAAAGGTTTTAATATATCTGGTTCAATGTTTTCCACAGCTTTGTGGATTTGCCAAATCTTTCTGCTTCCATATACAGCACGGAGCTTTTCAGTAGATTGCGAGCCTTCCTTATATCTTGTCCACCGACAGGCCCATCATCACCAGTAGCAGAACTTGTCATTGCAACATCAGATTTTCAAAGGGATCTTGTAAGCTGGAATATTAGGTAAGTGCTGTACTGCTGTTGGTTGGAGACTAGGAGTATAGCCCTAGTTTTGTGGTCAAAGAATGATTTCCTGCTACTACATAAATCTAACTTGTATTATTTCCTATTTAGTCCTATCAAAGGTGGAGTGGACGCAAAAGAGTTGTTCCATTTGTATATTCTTGTCTGGATCCAAGATAAACGTCTGTCTTTGCTCGAGTCATGCAAATTAGATAAGGTACTTGTTTTCTACATTTTGCAATTCTGTCATATTCGGTTTTGTTGATCAGTGTTTTGAAGGATATGTCAAAACTGATTGTGTTTGACTGCTCAAATTCTTCACAAGATTCATTCTTTCTTCAATAATTCTTTGATTTCTCGAACCAGTTATATCACATCTCTTCAGTGGTACATTGTCTTGTGCCAACAGGCTTGTCTGATTGCTTTGTTTTTGCAGGTGAAATGGTCAGGAGTTAGAACACAACATTCTACTACTCCTTTTGTTGATGACATGTATGAGCGGCTGAAGGAGACATTGACAGACTATGAGGTCATCATTTGCCGCTGGCCAGAGTATACCTTGGTTTTAGAGAACGTATGCCAGATCTTATTACTTTCCTCATCCTGCATCTCTTCCCCCTTTTTTCAGATGAATTTCAGATGCTACCATTTTCCATTTTCATGCTTTAATCTTCCTATTTCAGTAAACCTTTAACCTAAATAATGTGAATCTATTTTGAATTGAAATTCGAGCTACAATGTGGTCTAAGGTAAATGTTGAGATATATAAAACTATTAAAAAGTCCTCACCCACTAGCTTAAGCTTTTGGGTTGAATTGGTTTTTTACATGGTATCAGAGCTTCGTGTCCCGGGTTCGATCCTCGCCGCCCTCCACTTTCTTTCAAGTGGAATTTCTTTGTTCGCACAGGTAGGTGGGCTTGTGCATTGTCCACCCTTCAAGCCCAATGGACTCTCGTGTGGGGGGCGTGTTGAGATATATAAAACCATTAAAGAGCCCTCACCCACTAGCTTAAGCTTTTGGGTTGAATTGATTCTTTACAGTAAAAACACTTCTTATTTGCCAAAAGAGTTCTTCCCTTCTGTTTGAAAAGGTGTCAAAGTAAGGAGTCTCATGTTAGTAGTTACTATACTTAATACTATGACCCTGATACACTGGACTCATTAACTTAATTTAAAGTACATACATTTCAAGATTCTGCCGAAAAAATTCTATCATATCTTCTGTGAGAAAATACCCATCTGAAGGAGTTTTTTTCTAATTGATTGCTTTCATTAGAAAAATTTCTCTAGCATAGCAATTCTTTTTTCTTGATCCTGAATGTGTTATTGTATTAGATCTACAGAATATTGTAGAATATGCATTTGATTTGCTTTTTTCTTCAAAAAAAATGATAACAGGCCATTGCTGATATTGAAAAGGCCATCGTGGAAGCTTTAGACAAACAATATGCAGATGTATTGTCTCCTCTCAAAGAAAGCATGACTCCTAAGAAATTTGGGCTTAAATATGTCCAGAAACTTGCCAAACGGTCTACATGCGCCTATGTGGTTCCTGACGAGGTGAGTTGAATTTCGGAAGAATTCAATTGTTCTTCTGGGCATGTACACTTCTTCTAAACTTATTCACTTTTCCAGCTTGGAGTTCTTTTGAATTCCTTGAAGAGAATGCTTGACATCTTGCGTCCCAGGGTTGAATCACAGTTCAAGTCATGGGGTTCTTGCGTTCCAAATGCTGGAAATACAGCACCTGGTGAGCGACTTAGTGAAGTAACAGTGATGCTGAGAGCAAAGTTCAGGAACTACCTGCAAGCTATTGTGGAGAAACTCGTGGAGAATGTTAGTATTTGATCTAACATATCCTTTGGCGAACTCATAATTTGAACTACATAATATTATTGTTGTTAACATTATATTGCTGTTTTCTTCATCTAGATATCTCAAATTTGTTTTAGTCATCTTTCTACAATAATGTTAATAAACTAATCAAGTATATTATGTGTCCCTGATATGCATCTTTTATGTTGTTCCAGACAAAGTTACAGAATGCCACAAAATTAAAAAAGATTCTTCAAGATTCCAAGGAAACTGTGGTTGAGTCTGATTTAAGAAGTAAAATGCAGCCACTGAAAGACCAGTTGACTAATACCATAAGTCACCTTCACAGTGTCTTTGAGACTCATGTTTTCATTGCTATTTGTCGAGGTTATTGGGACCGTATGGGACAGGTCAGTTTGCTTTCATTGGTTTGTCTTATATATAGCATGTTTGGATATGCTTAATTTATATAGAAAATTTGCAGTTTTTTCTTTTCTATTTTTTTTTTTTTCCAAAAGTTTTCTTGGCAAGATTTGAACATAAAATTAGCTAATCCAAACACAATTTAGATTTCAGACTCTGGGATATTAATTTCATATTATTTATGGTATTCCTTATTTAACAGGAAATTTTAAGTTTCTTGGAGAACAGAAAAGAGAATAGATCGTGGTACAAAGGTTCAAGGGTGGCTGTTTCTGTAAGTAACAGATGTTCATTATATGTTGCTTGTTTAGTTATGAAAACAGAAATGCATGACTTTTTGAGGTGCCAAAGAACAATGCTGCAGATTGATTACAGTATAGTTAATGTTGATTACCTAAATGCTAATAAGAACTGATCTGCCAATAACATCTAAATATAATTTTGGTTTAATATAGTCTTTTATTAGATTGGAGTTTATTGAGAAAAGTTCGCTGAGATTTCTGTAACTTAAATGGGAAGGCTTGTCTTTTGAAACTGATTTTAAATTTAATTAAGTTTTCTAAATACTAACAGTGCATAGTTTTAGTTAGTGCACAAGTTCGCGAACTTCACGTTGCTGTGAGCTATTTAGCTAATGCTCTTCTGGAATGACATTTCCAGCATTTGGATTGAGAGATCCCTGTTTTGGCATTGTATACTAACTGTCCAACACAGTTTTTGTCATACAGGAGTGAGCTGTTACATTCTTGGGTAATATAATGTCAATTTTTTGTTGTGTATAGGCCATGTACTTTTTTATTTTATTTTATTTTTTTAGTTGTTGAAGTTACAGATGGTTTTTTCCCCTTCCTTTGCCTTGTTTTATGTGCTGTGTCTAGGCTTGTGATTACTGATGTGAAGTCATGTGTGCAGATTCTGGATGATATCTTTGCCTCTCAGATGCAGCAGCTTCTAGGAAATGCATTACAAGAGAAAGAGCTTGAGCCACCTAGATGCATCATGGAAGTTCGTTCCATGCTATGCAAGGATGCTCCCAATCACAAGGACAACACTTTTTACTATTAGGCCAATACATGTAAATATGATGAGAGAGGGAATACCGGGTAAAAAGAGAAGAATCAAATGGATCACCAATTTTGTAGCAGGAGCAAGCAACTCAACTGCTCTTAGAATGATCAATGTGCTCTTCAATGAGAATAGTACTTTTTCAACACATGGTATATATACATCAAATTAGTCATTGAATACTTGGTATTAAAATATAACTTTATAGCTTTTTTGCATACTATCAATCTATCATTGGCCTTTTGGTTAAGAAGTGCAGTGTCTAATAGCGTTAGTATTTTTGTTTAACTTTTACACTGTTTTGGTTTATTCAATTTTTAAGCTGAAGGTGATTTGGCGTCCGGTCAAATAATCAACGTCAGTTTTCCACATTGGTTGTAATATTCTTGTTCAGGATCATGTTACCGTTACAAGCATCTTGAAATTCGCCAGCATTTTAACTAGTAATATTTTATTATAAAAAAGAATTATTATCAATCGGGTAGTTTGATTTGATTTAGTGATTTAATTGTGCTTTTTTTTCTTTTTCCTGTAAGGTATTTTTTTCTTTTCAATCACATTAATGAATAGGATGGATAAAGATAAGATTTGATCCTATGCTTGCACTCAATAAACGATTTTACCAATTGAATTTGGTTTGTATAATTTTTGCGATTTAAATTTTCTTTCTACCAGAATTTGAATATTGATACAATAAAATATGTATTTACTTGGTGGTGTTAATAATAGTCTTGGCAGTAGATATAGTGGCTGAAATACGTACATTTCCAAAAGATTTGGGACGTATGGCATGAACTAAAACCCAATCATCACTGGATGCCATGACAGATTAACGTCGGTCTGATCCTAATCAAATGATTCTATATACTTTTTACCTTCAATAACAAAAATTGGACACTTCAACAGAGCACATTGTATCCATTAAAAGATTCCAGTTTACCGAATTTAAGTTCTGCTCTACCTTTGACAAAAACACACTATCACAGTACTTAGACCCCGTTTAAATGGATTTACTTTCTGTTTATTTAAGCATAAGCGCTTATAAAGCAAAAGTCACTTGGTGACAACCAATCACAATCCATTCTTATGAGGTCATAATGGCTTCAAATTCAAACATGTAGTTGAATAGAACGGGCACTTACGGATGTAAGAACAAAACTTTATTGCAATAGGCTTCATCATCCCCCACACTAAAATCAACTTTAGTGGCCGTGAAAACCAGGCTAGAAACAAATGCAATTAATTACATTAAAAATATTCAAACTGAGTAATATACCATATTTAAATCGGTTTATACAATTTGATTAAACCTGAGTATTGTTGGACCCCAACTAAAATTACCGCATACACCCAGATATTACTACCTCTACTTGTGTCAACTGATGTTCTACGAGGGGTATATTCATCATTGTCATTTTCAAATAAACCAACAGCAATTAAGCACAAAAAAAATGTCGGGGATGTTATTTAACAAAGAAATGAAAAAGGTGAGACAGGACATGGAACAAAAATATTAAGAGAGAGAGAGAGAGAGAGAGAGAGAGAGCGTAACTTGGCATAGATGACTGATACTGAGATAAATGGCAGTTGGGTTCTGAGATGGGGGAAGGGAAATGATATGTTACAAGCCTGAGTTGTGAATAACAATTTGAATTGCACTCGGAACATTTGAATAGAGATATTTACAAGATCAAACTACATTAAGATCAATTGATCTGTGGTGTAAACAAATTGAATTTTACATCAAACGGGGATAGAAAACCAAGCTGAATTGCAGCACAAGCAAAAGTTAAACAGTCAAATTACTACATCACAACTTTTTTCTCCAAGCTGCATTGGCAAATCAGAGTAGCTTTGATATAACTTGACAAGAAGACCAGAATGCTTTAGTTGCAACCCTGACAATAACAGGATTTTGATATATCCTGTCAAGAATGACAAATGAAAGTAATCAATAAAAATGCAACTGTTAGCTAAAAAGAGGGAGAAACAAATTCCAATAACTTTTCTATTCTTATCCTATATGTAAAAGCAAGTTGACAACAGAGGGGCATGTTTGGTATAGCCACTTACCCAATGGCTGTAGCCCCCCATGATGCCACATTATAAATAACTTTGCTCCCATCCCATGCCTTTCGAAGCTTTCCCTTTTTCTTTTTCACAGAAAACGTCTTGCTGAGCGCTGATAAAAACAAGCCAAAAAAAAAGTCAGAAATCCCTTCCCATTCTTTTATCTAACTGGCAATAAATTGTCTAAACTTGAGAAAAAAATTTATCTGGAATGAGAAAGGTAGCTAAGGATTTATTTCTTGTTTTACACTCAAATATATGGATGACTAACAAAAATGAGAAATCATACTAGGAAGGAAGCAATCAGACTCACCTTCCTGGAGCTGATTTGGAGTCAAATCCTGCAAAAAGTAAGGCAATCAATTAGAGAGAGAGAGAGAGAGGGAGGGAGGGAGAGAGTAGAAACTTCAGATTAAACAGATACATTAAAAACTCTACTTCAATGAGATTACTTTTTGAGCACAGGGTTGCAAGAAGAATTTATATCCATATTCCAAAAAAGAACAGGAACTGTAACATGATAGCCACAGAGGAATGGTAAACAATATAAGATATGCCAACAATAAAATCTGGCAACTGCATTATCAGCATAATATTTTATTTTTTGCCTTAGCGGGTCACTATCTTATTTGGAGCTTGTTCTTAATGCAATATTCATTTTGCAACATTTTTCCAGATATTAAAACATAACCAGCTTCATAGCAGACATCTTCAAGGAGGAAGTAAGCATTACAAACTTAAATTTCACATTAACTGTAGAAGTTTCCAGTTCAACTTGCTGAATAGAATTAGTGGCATATAACAATTACTCAGGTGACTCCATGTGCAAGTGATTCAGATTGAACTCATTTTTGTGCAAACCGCAACAAAAAAAGAGTAGTGTTTGCCACTAATCATGGTAGACACACCGCTGCTTCAAAGTTTAAAAAAGTAAAAATTTAAGTGGTTGAGAATCCATCGACTGCGATTCAATAATATATGGTATCTAATACACCTTACATTAATTAAAGATTTCAATAGTTTTTAATAATCTTAAACAAAAGTAAGAAGAGTCAAGGAAAGAAAAAACATTTTAAATACCATGGCAATTCCCCACAGCCTTTCACAAAACATATAAGACATTTTTTGAGAAAGCATATGTGGCGCCCGTTTGCATGTTAGAAATATACTTTCTAAGTCAAGTAGTAAACAGATTTGGATTTTCATATTTTCCAAATCATTGTACAAGAGAGTCATTCAGACTATATCACAATGAGTCTAACGTGGACCTAGGTATTAAATTCACAGGAATGGTATATAGCCTCCAAAATAACAAGAGAATACCTTGGTTTGCTTAAGGGATAACAAATATGTAGCCATGAAGCAAGCAATTCCCTCCACTATATCTTCTTGTCTAACAAGGACATAATCTTCTTGGTCTGAGTCAACACCTTCACCTTCCCAAAGATCATTTTCACTGACCAAATCCCAAGAATTGCCTTCTTCTGCCATTACCCATGCATTTTTCTTTAATTACATTCTAAAATTCAAACAACAAAGATAACATCTGGATGATAAGCACCAAGTTGAAGACATAAATACATTTGGCTGCATTGCATACCAGCCATGCTCTGCGAAACTGATTGCTGGGCATACTCTAACTTTTCAAGGAAGTCAGGGCATTCAAGACTAGATTTGAGCAGATCACATAACTGCATCGGGGCACACAGAATGTTGAGTGAAGCAAAAAATTTCTTAATCAAATCATCAGTTGCACGAGGATCAACAGAAAAACAACATTGATTATTTATATCTCAGCACTAACTAACAATAATTGTATCTTCAATAACGTGTTTGTCATCAAGAGTGCCAGAAGGAAACAACTTCATCATAAACTAAAACATCATTAATTTTCTCCAATATTAAGAATGAAACGAATAAGATAAGAACACAAAGGCAAGAGCATCATTTGAGCTGTGCCATGCAATTAGCAGATACATTCGTTGTTTTCATATAAACATGTATAAAACGCATTTATTTATTTATTTTATTTTATTTAAGTCTCTTTCAGTACAGAAATCAGAATAAAACTCCTCGCAAACTTCCTTCACTTTCTTTTATTTCCTCGAATTCACGATGCAAATAACACGAGAAGCTTAACCTAACCAAAACATGAGTGTTCCAAAACCAATAGAAAATTCATAATTCAGTTTTTGGTTTCTTAGGGAAAAGAAAAAAAAAAGAGTTACCTGATCGGTTTCTGGATCGGGGCGTGGTCCTTCATTGGTCAAATTAGCTTGACCCTTAGAATCACAATCGCAATCGTCTTCGTCATCGGAAGCATTAATCAGTTCAAGGGCTCTCTGACACTGTTCCAGCACGGCCTGAAGTGTCTTCCTCTTAAACCGAACCGGGTTCGGATCACACAGACCCAACTCCATCCCGATTTGGTGAGAACTGGATTAACGTGATGTAATTCGTAATTTTTTGATTTCAGATTTGGGAACCCTAGACTATAAGGGGGAAAAAAAAGGAAAAAGAAAACTGAAAAAGAGAGTTTGATTTTTTTGGGGTCTTTTGAGAATCGTCGTTGACGACGCTGAGGAAGAGAGAGAAGAGAATTATTGGTGTGTTTTATTAATTTTAAGTTTTAATGTTGTCGTGTGGGTTGCTTTGTCTCTTTCTTGCATTGGCCAAGTGGTGGGGGAACTGGCGAACAATAAGAATTAAAGAAGAGACGAGTTGGCAGTGGCAGGCGCAGCCTGATGTATTTTGGGCACATGCTCTCCCAATGCCAAATGAATTATTAGTTTTGTTTTTTTGTTTTTGTTGCATTCAATTCTTGTATAGTTAGTTGTGTTGGGATTGTTTCCTGGTTAAGTGAACTTTGCTCGATTTGCTCAATACAATCACGTGTATTGACATCAAATAAATATTTCGTATTTTAGTTTTGTTTTTCTTTACTATCTTAAAAAAAATAAAAGTTGACGCACAGGATTGAATAGATAGGTTAAGAGTATATATTTAATTTTCTTCGATATTATTTTTAAGAAGAGTTTAAAATTTTAATCGTTAATCTGCTCTAAACAAAATTGTCTCGGACAAAGAATATTTGTGGTTTATAAATAAATAAATAAAGATTTTTAAAAAGGTAATTATACAAAAATATTAAAAAATTACAATTCAGCTAAATTGCGCTGTCATGCACACGAACCATGTCATGTGTCCATACTCCATACTTTAGTTATTGTCCTTACGGTTTGCTATGAAACATCTTCCCAAATGGTAATGTCACGGTGCATTGATGCAATTATAGATGAAAGTGAAACATTCTATTTGTCTTCATTACGATCCGACGCCGGTTAAATACTCAAATTTAGGGATTGCACTGATAACAAGTTAACAATATAGTTGGTGTCGACATACAATTCAAGTACTAAGTGTATGAATTATTGGATCATCTTGGATCATTGCGGTTTGAATGTGTAAGATCATCATTATTTATAATTATCTCTTGTAGCGCAGATATGAGATGATGCTACGCAAACTAGAGTCTTTTACGTCACAATACGAACTCACGAACTTATTTCCTCAACGCCGTAGTACGAACAACTTACTTGAAGCTGGACTGTGGCAGATCTTTCAGACTATTTCTCAAGGAAATGAAAAGTGTGTGGGCACTCTCTCACTTTCAAGGAGAAGACCTTACCTCAGTCTCTGTAACCACCAAGTGAAGACCACCGGAGGATGTAGAATATACATGGGTTCCTAGAAACTCTAACTCTAAGCAAATGAGCTTTAGGTTTCTTGGACTATTCTTACACACTAGGCCTTATTGAGCTTTAGTGAAAGAGCAAACCCAACATTAAGTACTGTCTTTGGACATTGTAGCTTAAAAACACTAATTATACACTCTACATCCTCATTGAAATTTGGAAATTAGTGTAATTGTTCTCTAACCTCTTTCTTAAATACCAAAAATCTACACAAAAATAAGAAATCATTTGTTTTAGTTTTAGTTTCAATTTCACATGAATTTTCTTATTCGAAAAATTGTAGCTTGTGTCACATTTTTCATGCATTGATTTTTTTGTCGTTGTCGAGAATTATGTTAGGGTGTATTCTTCCATTAATTCTTGGTGGCTAAGCGTGCACCATATTTATTAATGGTTTGCTCAATGTCCTAATAATTACCTCAATGAATACTATCTACCTCATTATTAGAGAAGATTCTAGTAGAGGTGAAGAGTTTCACCTCTCCTACGAAGAAATGTAAAACCCTTTTGAAGAGTTACCTAAGCTAAAAGCTTATGGGAATTCTCCGAAAAGAAGTTTGAATACGAGACATCTTTAGAAAAGAACCTTATAACCCCCATTATTGGTGAAGTTTATGTACAAATCCATAGTGACACTAAGGAAGCTTAACTATTATAATCTTACTATTCATAGTGAAAGTTTTTTTTGTACTCGGTCCTGTGGTTTTTATTCCTTTGGGGGAAGATTTTTCACGTTAAAGTTTGTTGTGTTTCTTCTCAATCTCTCTACTTTCTGCACTTTCTATATTATTCGTGTGGGCCAACTTATTGTTTATTGGTCGACCTTCAAGAGCCGAGTTGTGAGCTCGACTTGACGACCCATGAATCGCTTCCACGTTGATTGAGGGACCTAGTCCCAACAGTGATATTAGAGTCCGAGTTCAAAGAGTTTTGACTAAAAAAGATGGAGACCAGCGGAATATCCCATGATGGATACATGTTTAAGTTGACAGCTGATAATTTTACTTATTGGAGGCCAATGATGGAGAACCATCTGTTCTGCAAAGACTTATACGAGCCTATCCTCAATGCCAAGATGCTAGAAGGAAAAAATGAAAAAGAATGGGAGATCCTGAATAGAAAGATCGTGGTCATGATTAGGAGACATATAGACAAAAGCCTCTTTGAGCATGTATGTCAATTCACTAATGCACACAAGTTATAAACGAAGCTAGAGTCCATGATACAGAATAAGACTCCCTGAAATAAAGCCCATCTAGTACACTGGCTTGTGAAGCTTGAATCCAAGAATAACATGAGTATAATTGAGCATTTAAAGACATACAAAGACGTTGTGAATCAGCTATCCAAAGCTGAGATAAAGATTGATAACGAGCTCCAGGCACTCCTACTCAGCTCACTGCTAGAAAGCTTGGACACTCTGGTAGTGACCTTGAGCAACTTAGTTCCTAAGGGATGCCAGATGATGGTGTTGGACAAGTGGCTTCAATACTCAAGAGGGGGGGGGGTGAATTGAGTTTTACAAATTCTTTTCGCAAAGTACCTCCTTTTATATTTTAAAGACTATTTCTTCAATGAAGTGATTTAATAAGATAAAATCTAAGTGTAGTGATCAACAAAGTAAGCAATTGAATATATAAAGACAATCTAAAATACAATTTTAATACTTAAATAAAGAGATTAACGATAGAGAAATTGCAAACTAGATGTATCCTAGTTCGGTCACCACCACCGTGACCTACGTCCAGACTGAAGTCGCTCGATCAATTCTTTTCACTAACTATCAAGCTTGAGGGTGCTTGACAAACCACTACAACCTTTCAAGACTTCGGGCTCTTGATGCCTTACACTTTTTCACTCTAAATTTTCTTAGGAATTTGGTGACCTTTCAAGTGTGTAGGGTTCACTCCCCTAGCTACTCAAGTAATCAAAGGAAGGTGTTTAATATTGGCTAAGTACTCTCAAAGTACAAATAACACAAGTTGAAGAACAAGGGTATATGGCACTCTTACAAGAATAAAGCTCAAAAGGAATTTATGATCAAGAAGACAAGAATAATGCAAATAGGATGAGAATTAATGAGTAATAATGATCAAGAAGTGTGTCCCATCAATGGAAACAATAGTCTCTATTTATAGAGGGCCTTCATGGCCTTTTTCCTACTCATTTTCGCAAACTAGCCGTTTTATAGCCGTTATTTTTGTTTCTGTACAGTAGGTAATCGATTACCATTGAGTGGGTAATCGATTACCATGAAGGGTAATCGATTACCATTGTTTGGTAATCGATTACCAACCTGTTGAAAGGTTGGTCTTCGCCCTAAAATGATTTTCTCTTGATTCACATCATTTTCAAATATTGTTTAAACATTTTATGAACATTGAAAAGTATGTTTTCATGTTAAGAATGTATTTGAATGTCAAACGATGATTTAATGCATGTATTTAAAAAATACTTTGAGCTTCGTTCTTGTAAAGAATAAATTTACAAATAATCCTAAGTCCTACAGTATATTACTCTGAGTTTGGACTTAGAGACTTCCCTTAAAGCTTGAGTCTTGATCTTGTTTAGACTTCTTTTTTATGGTTGCACTTTGAAGCTTTCATTCCATGCTTGTTTGTTATCATCGAAATCGTTGAACCTTTATATTCTTTTCATAGAGTGCATTGGTTGCACAAATGGATATTGTGACTGATATCCTTTTGAATGAATAATCCAAAAGAAAAGTGTGAGCTAAATCAAGAGGCCGGTGTATGTTGCAAAGAGCAGAGGAAGATCCAACTTCCGGGGCAATAACAAAAGCAGGGGTCGAGATAAATCAAGAGGCCGGTGTATAAGATATGAACTGATATGTTTTTATTCTGGGAAACCTAGTCACAAGTATCTCGACTGCCGAACTCTAAAGAAAGACCAGAAGAGCAATGTGAAACCTGGACAGATTAAGTCTAAGAAGAAAAAAGACAAGGATTACTGCGATAGTTGCCAATACAGATGTTGAGGTCATCCTCCTATGTGAGAATGATATTTTAAATGTTGCTTATGATGATTATGCTTGGATTGTTGATTCAAGTGCCTCCTTTTATGTTATTCCACATAAGTTCTTCTTCTTTTTCCTATAGAAGTGGTGACTTTAGAGTTATAAAAATGAAAAACCAAGTCATAAGCAAGATCGTTGGGGTTGGTGATGTGACCTTAACCATGAATGTCGGATCCCGACTTGTGTTAAAGGAGGTAATGCATATGCCACACATGCATGCATGTGCTACACATGTATTTAAACCTAATATCAGTAGGAAAACTGGATAATACCAGGTTAGTGAATTATTTTGTGGTGTAAGATGGAAGTTGGTCAAGGGTAATTTGGTGGTTGCCCGAGGCAAGTAGAAGGGTTCCTTATATGCGATGCAAGGGAAAATAAACAGTGGAGAAGCCAACGTTGTTTGGTATGGACTTAGCATAGAGTTGTGTCACAAACGACTTAACCACATGAGTGAAAAAGGACTTTAAATTCTGATCAGGAAATGTTTGCTTCTCGAGTTGAAAGGTCAAATGCTAGAATGTTGCACGCATTAACTTGCTGGAAAATAACATTGTGTTTCCTTTGTGAGAGTAGAACGGCCTAGACGACGCAGGTATATTCTAGATCTCGTCTACATTGATGTCTTCTCTATGTCAGAGAGATCACTTGATGGGGCTTAATATTTTGTTTTTTTCGTTAATGACTATTCTCTCAAAATATGGGTATATATGTTGCATTCCAAAGACCAGGTACTCTAAACCTTTAAAGAATTTCATGCTATGGTAGAAAGGGAGATCGATAATAAGCTGAAAACTATCTGATCAGATAACAAGGGAGAATATTGTAGCCCTTTTGATGCTTATTGTAGAGTAGTTGGAACATGACTGGAGAAGATGCCCCCAAGACATCTCAATTGAATAGAGTTGTTGAGAGGATGAA